CACCCAGCATTTTATAACTCCATTACATTTTTGTTCACAAGCCTTTTTCAAAAACACATGTTTAGATGGATTTAGGTTCAAGCTCTAACGGTTCAAAAGTGGTGTCAATCATCAAAATCGACCGATGGGTTCCAGAGATATGGCAAATCCACCCAAATGACCCCAGAAGTGGGTTTTTTTCCCTAGACCTCTCTGAAAAGGTCATAATTCACTTGTTTTGCATCAATCTTGATACAGGGTACTTATTATATGTTATTGTTTGGATTCTTAAAGCTTTTAGTCTACTATCCCATCATTCAAGGGTGGTTTTCACTATAAGTAATGGGGTTTTTTTGGGACGGAAACTATAATTTACATTTTTTTTCTATGTTCAATCTGAATTTACTTTAAAATAAAAACATCTATATAGATTCTGAATTTTCTACATCCAACTCACAGGTTTATTGTCACGAACGAGCTGAGAACCAAAATGCAACACACGGGAGACCAGGGAAAGTCGGTAACCAGCTTTATTATAAAATGTTTCCAATGAAAAGTTCTGGTGTAAGACAAACCAGCAGACAGTAGGCAAAGGGCTAGTCGGGGACAGGCGAGGGTTCCAGGAGTAGGCAAGACGGGAGACGCAGGTACCGGCAGGGTCAGGGAGCAGGCGAGGCAGAATAGTCCGGGTACAGGCGGGGTCAGGGAACAGGCGAAGCAGGCTGGTCAGGGACAGGCAAGGTCGAAACCGGGAGAGCAATCTGGGAGGTAATGCTGGAAATAACTGCATGCTGCGAAATACGATCTGGCACTGAGGTGAGAGTGAAGGGGGCCTATACTAGTGGAGCTGATGGGTGTAACAGAGTGTGAGAGAGAAACCGGGTGTGACTACCAGGTGACTAAGGTGGCTGAAAGATGCTAATGCAGAAAATAGGTGAGTGAGGGAGCAGACTGTGACATTTAGCATTGCTTTGAGAAAAGAGATTATTAATGTATCCCTTTTAGAAGTGAAGATATAGTCATTTGTTCTGGGAATGTCACTTTCCAGCCTGAGACCTGAAAAACAGGGTTTGGGTTAAAACCTGTTAAGCCCCAAGCCTGTTTTTCAGGTCTCAGGCTGCATTGAGGGTATAAAACTCACTCAGATTCACTCTCCAGAACGTCCTGACATAAGCTTAAAGGTAAGATCTTAACATGATATCTAATGCAATATGCAGCACATTTGTATTTTACAGAAGAGTATGCAAGTTAATAGCAGCACAATAGAATTTGATTTTGTGCATGTGAACGACCATTTTCTGTCATCTCTTTTTATTTCTATCAGATGGAATTTGTGCTTCTCCTGCTGATGGTGACGGCATGTGCTGCAATAACTCAAGGTAAAATAAAATATATATTCTTTATTTAACAGAGGTATTACATAAGGGAATTTCAAAGTGGTAGCACGTACTGTACACAGTATATTTTAAAGTAGTAGTCTGAAACAATTATATTTTTGCAAAACGGGAAGAAACGGGAAATTAATGTTTAAGTGTTTGAACCTTATTGGAGGATTTTGTTCAACTCATCGAAACTTTTTTGGAAAGACGCAATCAAGGAGTGTAGTTTGTATGTGTGTGTGTGTGTGTGTGTGTGTGTGTGTGTGTGTGTGTGTGTGTGTGTGTGTGTGTGTGTGTGTGTGTGTGTGTGTGTAAACATACTGTAAATTACATTAACCTTAAAAACCTTTTATAATATTCCAACTGGACATTGGGGTTGTTACCAACTTTTATTTTTGTTTTTGTAGATCTCTCCGGTAAAATGTTTACCTTCCCTCAGGAAAGCAACACAGCTTATGTGAAACTGACACCAGAAAGAGTGGATTTTGGAGCTATAACTGTCTGTCTCAGGTAGTGTGCAAAGTGCAAAGCCAATAAACATATCTATATGGAGTATAACTGAAAATGAATGTATTCGATTTTTTTTCTTTCAATTCCTGCAGGACCATTACAGACCTCAACAGGAACCACGCCCTTTTCTCTCTGTCTGCAACAACCTCTGATAATGCTTTTCTCATATACAAGCCTACTGCTGATGGGATTCAAATCTATGTCCATGGTCAAGCTGAAACATTTGGGGGAGAGGACTACAAAGTGAACACGTGGCACTCAATATGTTCTACATGGGACTCTGTGACCGGTGTGGCACAGCTGTGGCTAGACAACAAGCCCTTCATTAGGAAATATGTTGGTGGAGCAAGAATCAGAAATCCTTCTATTGTCCTTGGACAGGTAAGTTTAATTTGTAAGTAAAATAGTTGATAGAATTCCAGAAATGTCTCTTGATTGGTTAAATTCTGATTCATTTATTCTGTGAGGTACTGATTGTAAAACAAAACATTTATTGCATGGAAATATTTTGTTCACAGCTCACTACAGAAGCACTTTCTATCAAAGCTGTTATCTTATCAGTCTGATCATTTTACAGGAGCAGGATTCCCATGGTGGAGGATTTGACAAAACACAGTCTTTTGTTGGCACGATGTCTGATGTCCACATGTGGGACTACACCCTCTCCGCCTGTGAGATCCAGGAGTACATGCTTGACAGAAACCTAACTCCGGGTAATGTGCTCAATTGGAAGGCGCTGGACTACAGAAGCTACGGAAGAGTGCTGACGGAACTAAAAACCATTTGCTCATGTACAGAATAAATACAAACAAATATATAAATGTCATACTCCTTACGAGGCTTTTTCTTTTGAGTATGAAATTCAAACACCCTGTAAACCTGAACAGTGGCATTAATCAGCTTGATCAACACAATTACCTAATTTCTGACCACCATCTTAAATGTGTGTGTTTAATTTTTCTTATTAAATCTGCAAATTGTTATTTGTAACTAGATGACATTTGTGATATATCCTTTTGTCTGCCATGTTTGCTGCAACTTGTATGATGCTCTTCCTGACAGTTCATTAAAAATGGCACATTCTGCAGTCCTGTCTCCTGTCCGTCATTCTGACATAAATCATTTAATAATGTTCATTTATTTTGCATTTATTGTATAGTTTTGACATTTTATTATTATATCATGGTCTTACCAGAATCAATGTTAATACAAAAGTTCAAGGCCCAGACCTTAAGAGAATGGCTTTTGACTACAACTATTACGTCTAGATATTGATCCTTATTTTGTGGGTTTTTCACCCAACATTTTATAACTCCATTACATTTTTGTTCACAAGCCTTTTTCAAAAAACACATCGGTCTCATTCATGAATGCTCATTTCACCTTTTAGGCTACAAGCAAAACCAGAACCTTTTCAAATGTCTGTAGCTGAACAACTGCTGTACTTAAGCAAAACTGGACAATAAAAACAGCAACAAAATAAAAAAAAAACGAGTTATTTGAGAGATCTGTATATTTCTGACTATGTTTAATTGTATCCAGTGTTACTCTCGAATAAATCATTTCCAGATTTAAACAGTTTGAGGATCCCCCTCTTAGTAACCTGTGAAGTTTGGAATACGAAAGAAGAAACAAAATATGTCTCGAGGTGTGATTCATAAAGATGTGTTGTGGATTGTTTGATTATCTCGCTAGAACGTGAGTCTTTCTCAATTTCCTAATGTTTCTTGACCACATTTTCTATTAAGAATGAATGTGCTCTAACTATATGCACTAGTCTAGTGAGTCTGAAGCAGTGGTGTAACAAGGTTGTGATTGGCCCCGGTGCAAATATTGTTTTGGTCCGGGGGTAAGCCCCCCCGCGAAGAAAATGCTTCAATCTGGTGCACTTGGAAATATGTGTTTCCATAAATTGTGATCAAAACGTTTGAGACCCACTGAGATAACTTAGACTAAAGTGAACTATCTAAACACTGAGAGAGTCCTTTACCTCGCTGAGCTGTAGTTATCAGCCTCTCAGTCTGTCAGGAGAGAGCTCCCCTCCACCTTTGTTGTAGAAACATCTTCTTCTTATATCCGTTAGCGCAGCTAGCACCAGGTGCTAATAACAACAGCGCCGGTACCTCGCTCCCACGCTCACTCGCACTTTGGCTGTGAGCTGCGGGCGCCAGATAAGCCAACATCCCCCACTTTCATCACTTACAGCGCCCATCGTACAGGGCAAATGAAAAGTGTAACCGGGGTGAAAAGGGTGTTACATTTACTTAATTATGAATGTTGTTACATCAAGGCCGAAAATTAGGATGAGCGCCAACGGTCAAAAATGTTTTTCCCCTCCCAGAGCTGCCAGCGCAGCGCCCCCCAGATCTGGCGCCCTAGGCGAACATCTATAACGCCAATGCTAAGGACCGGCCCTGCATGAAAGGGAGCAAGGTCATCGGACAGACAAATTACAAATTAATTTAGGTTGCTTGGTTACTTTGAAGACTGCGTGAACCGGTCAATGCCATTGGGGCCCCAAAATAAAAAAAATTAATTAAAATCTTTTTTTTTTTTTAAATCTTTTTTTTTTTTCTTGCATGGGCCCCTGGCTGGCTCTGGGCCCCGGTGCGTTGCACCGGCTGCACCGTCGATAGTTACGCCACTGGTTTGAAGGCTACTTGCAAACATCCAGGGAATGCCACAATACATAGGCTGCATATAGGAGCTGTAGCAGTAACACTACTCACCTTAAACGCCTCTCTTTTGACATTCTTGCTGAATCAATTAAGCATTATGTGCTGCGTGAGAACTCAGAAAAGCCCCTTGTGGTACGGTAGCTACTTGCTGATGAAATGCAGAGCAACTTTTACCTCGACTGACTGAGAGTTTGAGAGTTAGGCATGTGGTAAAAGTTTAATTCAGCGGACAATGAGGATCACTGTCACATGGGACACCCTTGTCCTCCTTGATGTCCTGCCCTTTGCTGTACTGAGTTATACAGTTTCAAATTAAGTCCTGTGGCTTCTGAAATACATTTAAAAAAACATTTTGATTCACCATAAAGGTGAAGGTTCATATTTAATCTATTTCAGGTAAAAAGACACACAATTCAGAGCTTACAGAAGGCAGAGCTTACAGAAGGCAATTGACTTTAAGAATCCATATAGATTTAATAGATTTTGACAAACAGGTTTTTTCATAGTTAAAGTGTATTCCTTTAGAAATGGTGTAGTAAGGTTTTAAAACTGTTCAGGTTACCCTTAGCTTGGCAGCTGGATTCTGGTGAAATATCACGTGAAAATCCACCCTGTCCGGCTTCAAGTAATGTGTTTGAGATGTTAGTGTTGTGAACAACAATGGCAGCTCCTAAGGTGAGCATACTTTATGAACGATAGCATCAGTTATAGTAATGGGACTTTGTTTTTTTGGGAGGAAATTAAAAACCAGCACTCTAGCAACTGAAGCGGTTTTTCTGTTAACCTGACCTTTGGTTAGAGTTTCAATGACAGATTGTTCGCAAGATAATCGAACATTTTTAAAGTGCCTGCCCTTCCTTAACAGTGTCCAATGACAGCTTCTCAGATGGTTCTGTGAAACAAACCAGTTGGGGGATGTTAAAACGGGGATCTTAGGATCAACAAAAAAACAATGCAATTAAGGTTCAATGTAATCAGCTCAGATGTGATTTTTAACCTGTGTAAGCGATGAGATAGTAAACATCTTAATTTAGTAGCATTTTATTTGCTTTTTTAAAACTTCACAATGAAATAATTATACATAGTAATGTCTTGCAACTTTACAGCACTCCGACAAAGAATTCAAGTAATTTAGTGTCAAGATCATGTTGGTGCCGATCAAATGTGCGAACACTCAAGCTATGTGCAAACTTTGGCATCCCGGCACAAAGCTATCCAGGTCACCCAGTTGTGTTAAATCAAACACGAGTAAAAAGCTAGCTTTTTTCACAAGTTCTCTGTATGTTGCTACATCTTAATTCTTTCCTAGGGCAAGGTTAAAATGCTCTATCTTATTAATTCATCAGCACGCACACACAGACACAGAAACACACTCACAGCAGGAAATAAAATCAAGACTAAGATCAACAGCAGTTCTTTGGTAATAGGAGGATAATACAAAGCGAGAGGGTGTAAGAGATTGCAGATTGTGTGTGCAGATAATGCTGTTAGATGCTAGATAACAGGAGGCCTCTGACTAAATGTTCTGCTTTGGGCAAAAAAGGCGCTGCATATTTCTCTTGCAGCACCAGACTCTGTCATGGAGACAGCTGCTCCATCCTCCTCCCTTGCCTCCTCTGCATCTCCATCATCTGATTAGTGTTCTACATACTAACATATCTTGGTGTTCCAAACCTGCCACCCTGCACCAACAGCAATCACCATTGGCTCTGTATCACCTCTGCTCATCATCTGATCAAGTCGACCGCATAAACGTATGTGCCTTTATTGGCTATGAGTTTAGTTAGAGGGCAACATAGAGATTTTACTCCAAACTCTCTATATTGCTCTTTACTGGTTTATAAAAAAGATGTTTTAATACTGTAACACCTGTTCTTCCTCCTGAGGTTACTTTGGCTTCCAAATATGTGATGCTTTGAGGTGTTAGCACTGGTTTACATTAGTGTGCATGTGTGTTTACTCTGCATGTGGTAATATGGCTTTACCTTACTCTCCTTTACATTGTTTATGTGCAACTCTAAGCATAATGTGTTAGTGTGCGAACAATAGTAATGTTTTCATGCCTTTAAGTGGCAGGCAGTTTTGGGCAGAGAGGTATTTGTGTTAGAAAACAGGGAGATCAATAACATCCTGAAAAGAGAGAACCTCAGGGATACAATCGCACAACTTGAAGAGAGTGGAGAGAGGTAAGCGGAAACTGTTGTCTATGTTTATCAAAACAACGAGAGTCAGCAGGGGATATCAATCTATTTTTCACCACATTCTGTGAAAAAACTACAGCACAAACATGAAATCAAAGCTCAAAGTAAATAGACATTAAAAACATTTATATCCACAGAGACCTGTCCATTTGGGTGAAATAAAGTCAACTTTGTTGTTGTGTTTGGCTATTGTCTGACACAATCACACACCAAATGAGCATTGCAGTATTACTAATTCTGCATACCAACATGAGTAATATTTTTACATTTACAAAAAAAAAATGTCTTTGCAAAACCGAACCATGGAATATTGTAAATCCTTTGCCCACATACAATTAGATTTTTCTTTTACTTACGGTCATTTGAACTTTGATTTCTGTTCAAAATGCACAGTTGCAAGAACTCTCAAAATAATCATTGCATAAAATTCAGAAAGTTAGCGACCCCGGCGGCTTCAGAGATCACAGTTCACAGGTTGGTGACCTTACCGATCTCCTCCGTCGGCTGGTTCCTCTCCCAGCCTTGTCGAATGCGCGTTAGGGTCCGATCCACGCAGGGGAGGAGGACCAGAGCTTTGAGCACCAAAACCACAGAAGGCACAATCAAACAGAGCATGTAGCCTGGAGGAGTGTACCATTTGTAGGTAGAGGGACGAAGAAATTTATTCCAGCCGTAAATGTAGCCATGTGCTGTGCATATGAACAGGGTCAGATGTCCCAGCTTGGACTGAAAAAGAAATGTTAAAAAGACAGTGAGATATTTTAGGAAATGTACTTATTCGCATTTGCTTTGTAGAGATCGATACCACTCTCGTTAGCACATCACCACCACTAAATGTATAATGCGTTGTTTATACACTTGGTAATTAACGAGCAGCTGGTGGGCACATTGTTTCTCAGATTGTGTTTTTTTTAATATAGTAGGTTGATATTTGGTGAACCTACATGAGACAGATATCATTTAACTTTTTTAAAGCAAGAAAGCAAACGAGTTAATATGAGTTTTACTCAGGGCCGTCCCTCCCTACAGGCCGATCACGCAGACTGCGTGGGGCCTCACCTTGCGGAGGGGGCCTCACCTTGCGGAGGGGGCCTCATCTTGCAAATGCGGCGCACCTATGCGCTTACTGTATGCCGCGCAATTAGTGTGGCTCCACAAGCACCCCCCCGTCCCCCGTCGGCGCTCGCGAAACAGAGGGCCTCATCATATAACTTTGCGTGGGGCCTCAAGCTGGTTTTACTCCAGGATTTGAGATTCACGGACATGCACACATGTAACACACAATGGGCCTCATGCAGGAAGCGATATTTAGTATTAAATATAGGATAGATTTGTCTAATATTTCTTATTTTGATAGCACCCTTTAACTTATTTACCAATCTTTTCTTATTGTTGCTCTTCCCTTAGGTTAGGAATTATTTCGCGAGATTTTTTAACCGTCCACAATTGTTTGTCCAATGCAAGGAAAATAAACATTATACATTTGAACACAAAAAAAGCACATGAATTTCTCTTAATAAAAATGAAAGTAAATTGTTTTGTCAGATTTGTTGGCTAAAGAAATACTCTTAGTCCATTGATCCTAATGAAGACACAACCCTTGGAAGACGAGTGCCTTACTGTACATAAAGCTCTTTGATGATTTTTTATTTCTGTGTAACACCAATACTGACACTTTCAAAAATGACATGTTTGATAATATAAACACTGAACTTTTCTTTGGTATTTTCCTGAAAGATCTGTCTTGCCTTTTTCTGTGCTTGTAGTAATCCACAACAATAAGCTAAAAATACAAATAGTTTCACAGCCGTTCCAGAGTAATTGGTTTTGTAGCACCAGTGGCCTGGTTATTGTTAATTACTTGAATAATGTGCTTTCATTTACATTTTTAGCATTCAGTTGCTGATCCACAGTGACTAAAACAGAACAATAAGGAACATTCATATTAATGTGAATGTGACTGTAGTAATGAACAGTGCCCCTACAATGATAATTAGGGATCTTATTTAACCCATTAAGACTAGCAAATCCTTCTGCTGAGATCATTTACAGTCAGTCATTTACAGTCCTCTGTTTATGTTAATGTACACCTGTTATTATATGTCTTTCAAAACTCTTCTAACCAGGTCATAAGGTTTATTTTGACCTAGACCGCTAACTCTAGATCTCCTGCCCTATCTGAGATCTACCTATGGACCTGACCTTTACACAAATGCACCTGTGACCTGTATTAACAATGTCCTCCCTTAAGGATTATACCAGGTATCATCATTTTATTTAATGAATAACTTAACATTTAAGATCTTGGGCTAAAGCCAGCCAGGCTTTCACTCTGTGTGCCTGTGTTAGGCAGTTAGTTAGTTAGGCTCGGGGGAAATGATTGCCAGTGACATATTGCTTTTACAACACATTAATAACTGATGAAAACTTGGAAATTCCAAATATAGATTATCAAGGCGCTAAATTACTTTTTTTTGTACTGATAGCAGGCACATGACTGATACTAGGCACTTGACTGATAGCGTCTGTAGGCCTTAAGGTGAACACACACACACACACACACACACACACACACACACACACACACACACACACACACACACACACACACACACACACACACACACTAACTAACTATCTAACATTTACACATGCGAATAAAGCATATCCAGCTGCGCTCTGACCTGAATGAAGTTGAACTCTCTCCAGCTGAGAGAGCCTCCCACAGAGGGCAGGGATGTTAGTCCTAGCAGGACATAAAGAAAGAAGCCAAGGATTCCTAGCGCATAGAATGAGTCTTGGCCCCATGCCTCTGTGTTGTCAAAGTAAAATGGAGTGGTTTTATTGTTCTTCATCTATGGGAGACAGAGACACAGTACTTTAAGAATTGTAAGCTTGATGTCATTATTTTCTATGTACAAAACACTGGAAGGTTTAAACCAGTCAGCTGTACCTCATCCACCACAAGTGTGATGAGTTTGTGTCTGACAGAGTAGCGAGTAGGAATCATGAAGGTATGGATGACATGGAGAAAAGCAAGTCCCAGCGCAATCAGACCCATCTGCTTCCTGCAGAGCATCCAGCGATCCAGCCAATCAGGGAAGCGTCTGGAACATGAAAAAGTGAGTTAGACCTCCAAAAAGGATACACCCTTTTTACAACAAATTGCACAGGTAGTGAAAAAGCAGCCTCTTGATTTCAAACTCTCAAATACTTTCGTATGGTCATCAATTTTACTGCATGGGGTAGTCCCATGAGTCAAACCATGATACTCCACTACTGTTGCTGTTTAAAACACGCAGTTAACGGGCCACCGGATAGCTCAGTGGTCAGAGCCCATATGTAGTCACCCCTGCCTAGTAGGTAATACCGAGTCGGCCGCATATTTCATGTTGGTTTTGTTTAAAATAAGTGTTTTTTTAAGGAGCTTGAATTAGTCATGAGCATAGGTTAGTCACATTCAATTTTGGTTTCACATGGGCTACAAGCAGTGACCTCCTGAGTTTTTAACGCATCTATGAATCTATCTATGAACTCCCCATAACTTGGACCTTCAAGCTTATATAGTAAGGCCCCAAACTTCTGGAGCCCTTGCTGTTATATTGCTGCCAATGGTTTACATTGGAGAGTTACACACTTGGTGCTTCTCATTGAAATGCTAAGGGTGCATTTTGTGTGTATCAGACGCAGAAGGCCTGGACAAAACATAATTTCTGAACAACCTGAAGATGAGACCATGCTGGGACATATTTTTCCATGGTTTTAATGTCTGACCTGTACTTGGTTCCTCTGTAGAGCTGAAGGAAGGCAGCTATGACACCAGGCAGGTAACACAGAGCCAGCATGATGAGAGACACAATGGGAAACACCTGAAAGATGGGGGACAAACACAGAACACATCCTTTAAAAGGAGCACAAAACACCATTCACAGGAAACTAAACCAGGTGGGGGGAGGTTTACCTTGTTGGCCAGGGAGACCATGATTCTGTAGGAGATGTCTTTGTCTTGTTCAACATACTCGTAGATGACATCTCTAATAACTAAGTAGAAGAAGAAGAAGGCGGTGAGGCAGACAGCCACGCGTAGAGGCAGCCTCCACTCTGGGAACAGCTGCAGAGGAAAGTCCTCCAGCTCTCCAGCCGCTGACAGAGACCCTTTATCCAGAACAGTGAGGCCCAGCTTGGTAGACATCTCTGCTACTGCTCGCTTTGCTTCTGCACTGTTCCCACACAGGTACACCTGGAGCATGGAGGAGTGGTTTATTTTAAAATGGGCTGCAATTGAATCATCATTAAATACAATAAATAAGAAAATTACAAAAAGTTTCCTTAAAAGAACTGGACACTTGTTTAAGCAAACAGTTTCTAACAAGAGCATAGATGGATCTGCACAAAAACATTAACTGCATGAAGGATCATGGTATATGAGATGAGCTTTAATATTTAATGGAGATCTATGGGACAAAAGCTTCTCAGGCTTTGACAGAGACAGTCCTTGTTTTTGGGATAAGCTCATTTCAGGGTTTTCTTTTCATGCAATGTGTGATAAGAAGAAAAATACAGAATATGCCAGACTCATCAATTAATATTATGTCATCATTAATAATTGTTTACACAGATGTGAACGTGATCAAAATAAAAATATTCATATACATAAAATATGTTCTTGTCAAATTTAAATTAACATTGGATTCACTAGAATTTCTAGAAATCCAAAACGTTTCAGCCTGTGCGACTTATCTGAAATGATTTAGTTTGTAAGTCAGTGATATCAAGTACATCTTATATTCAAAAATACTTTGCCCGTGCTGAATTCTGCTCAGTGATGTTTTCCTGTTGCTAATAATTACTCTAAGATTATTGTTGGATGACTCACCCTGTTTTGAATATCTAGCGCATGACTGCACCGTGTACACCTACAGTGTCTGTCTACAGAATTACCCTTTTTCCTGTTGATCTCCACTGTGCTGTTTCAGTCATTATTGAGATGAAGCCCCTGGAAGCATATGACTATGTAAAGACACATGCATACTCAAACACTGCTCAAAATGTAATCCCATTTCTAGATCTTCATGCTGAAGGTTATTACCCCACTCACGGCTCTGTGATAAGACGATTAAGTTGTTTGTGAAGGGGGGAAAACAAGTCTTAAAGAGGGAGAAGGATAGAGAGAAAGAGAGAAAGAGAGAGAGCAGTTTGACAAGCATATAGCGGAGTCAGTGGGATTGAGCAGTTTTACCTGCAGGTGTGTGTATAAGTGGACCGGGCAGCCAGCCATGTCTCCCCACATTACTGCACCAGTAACAGCAGGGGACGGCCGACAGACTAAATCTCCATCTGAATGTAAATGTGACAGAGCCACAGCCAGCTGTGTATCTAATCAAATTGCTGGCTAAGGAATAGCAGACACTTAAAAACATATGCATGTGGATATATACAGTACCTACACATGCACTAATAAAGACACAAACCTTCAAACACTTCAGTTCTCTCACAGCTACCTGTTTTCAAAGAAAATAGAGCACTGCAGTGGTATCTGTGTGTGTGTGTGTGTGTGTGTGTGTGTGTGTGTGTGTGTGGTGTGTGTGTGTGTGTGTGTGTGTGTGTGTGTGTGTGTGTGTGTGTGTGTGTGTGTGTGTGTGTGTGTGTGTGTGTGTGTGTGTGTGTGTGTGTGTGTGTGTGTGTGTGTATGGGGGGTTGTTTGTGTTGAAGAGGATTGGAGGCAGATTCAGGTTTGGTCTCCAGAGGTTCCAGCATGTTTGTGTTTCTCTTTGTAGCTGTGAATCGGAAGCTGCAATAAACATTGGTCTTTTCTACTTTGTAACATCATTAAGTGTGTTTGTTTGTTTGTTTGTTTGTTTGTCTGTTTATACAAGCACTGTCCTGGTTTTCTTTGCATTGTTATTGAAAGACGGCAAAATCAATCATCCTTATCAACACAAAATGAAGTCAATTCTCCTCCTATTTTTTGTGATCTACGGTGAAGCCTTATCCCATCGTATTCCAGGAAATGTTGAAATAAGTTATTGTTTCCTGGTTTTAAGTCTTACCATAAAAATATCAAGTTGTTTATCTCCCTTCCCATGAGGCTACTGCTCTGTCTTTGTATTTTTACTCCACTTAAACAAAGCCTTCCTTAAGGCACAAAAGCTCTGTTTTGCTTGATCCCACTGACGTCTGTTAACAGATGTCTTATATTCAGTCCCCTCTCACCTGTTTTCCTGCCAGGAGTCCATTCTGCAGGGCCCAGGCAGACAGCGTGTTTAGGCCTTTTACCACAGCAGCTCCAGGGACCAATCTAAAAAAGACACAGCAACGACTTTAGTTTCTATTTACAAATACACAAACAGGGAAGGAAGGGCGTCAAAATGATGAGAATCAATGTTTCCACTTCGGCTGAATAGACACACAGCGGGCCGTCCTGCCAAGGGATCTGCAACCTCGCAATTTCTTTCATTTCTTTAGGATTCACTTGAGAGTTTTGATGTCTCACGCTCTAAATGTTTTATAAAAAAGACATCCAGCATTCGAAAAAAAGGGACACCTGCTGTTTTAAAGTGATTGTAAACCCATATTTGAAAAGAAAAGTTAGCCCCATCTTTGACATCATGATAAGAATAAAAACATTAAAGCTATGAGGATGGGAGCATTTACATGCAGAGAATTTGAATGAATGACACTGGTTTTCTTTATTTTACAGGAGTATGTTACCTCTGCAAGTAGGCGGCGTTGGGTTCTGGGTATATGCCTTTCTTCAGGTTGTTACTAAGGTCCACCAGCACCTTGTAGTGAAGCCATCAGTATTGAGAGAGCGGAGGAAACAAAAGAAAACAGTTCAGTTTGATAGTTATTATATGTATTGTTATTATAATAAAGGGATAATGTTATAAGTTATTCCAACCGAAATTCTGAAGTAAAAACTATAGTGCTGCAAGAAAAATATTTTCATACATTTTAGAATGAATCGATACTTGATGTGTAATTCATAACTTTTACAGTGACGCTAGGTTGTGATTCCAGTGTAATTATACAACATGGAGAAAACATCCAAAACATTTGCTGTGAAAAGAATCATCTGGAATTAAACGAGCATTAATTAATATCTAACCTATTTCAAGAAGTATTTTCTGCAGTCTCTAAGTCAATAGGTAAATAAGACTTTAAGTTTAAACCTCCCTCTAATTTGAATAAGTTGAACTCTTGAAAATATTTGATCCATATGAACTTTTCAATCATTAAAAAATACCCTGTATCCTAATCATTTGTACATGATAAATTAACGTGTTTTAAAGCTGCATGATTTAACGCTATCAATACCTGAATTATATATAATTAATTATAATTAATTATATTTGTATTTTGTCTTTTTGTATGTTTTGGGGAAATGTTCTATTTTAATTATATTTGTTTTGTTTATTTTATGCTTCATTTTATGTTAAATGTACTATATTGTCATATTGTCGTTCAGGACCCCCCTTTAAACCGAGATGGTAAATCTCATAGGGTTATCCCGAAAAATAATTGAAACATACTATTATTTTGGAATCCCTTCATATTGAGTATCAACGGAAGAAAAGCATCATCAGTGTCCCACATTGACCTTAGATTTAATTGTTGTTTTACTACTGTACCTTTCACAAGGGGATTTTCCTGATGTGGAAATATTGACACACAACTGGTTAATTATTCATATCTTATCAGTCAGAAGTGACTAGGTGCATTTTGATGATTGTCAATATGCAGATTCATACATGTGAGAGAACCAAAAATATGTTCTGGTAAGCTATCCAACTATTTGTTTTCAAACTTTACAACACTCTCTGATTAAAATATGAAACTGCTTTCACTGTGTTATTTGTTTATGATTAAGAATTAACTAAGAATTGTGCATGTTATTGTTACATATCCATAATCAGACTTTGACTCACCTTTCCAGCAAGATGAGGTGCCATTGTTTCCAGGAATCCATAATGTTCTCTGTGAACACAAATAAAGATCAAACTGGCTGATTGGGCTGCTGCTTCGTGGCTCATCACCTGTACAAAAACACAAAAATCGAGACATAACAAATATTCTTTAAGCTGCATACAAGCACTGTTTTGTGCATTTTGAAAGACTCAAAGTGCTATGTCATGTGTCGTACCTGAGATCCCTGGGGCAAGGGTCCACAGCTGTGCGGTCTGCGGCTGCCGTACACCACCCTGTAGCCAGACTGGAGCAGACGCAAACCCAGAGAGCGTCCTAAATCCCCCGTCCCGAAGATACACAGCATCTCTGGCACAGGGGCAGCAGCTGCACCCAGAGGATGCAGCGACACACTCTCTGGCTTCATCATCTCTGATGAGCCATTCGCCACTGTCACGTTCTCACTCTAAGTTTGGATGGTTAGTGTTCCCTGCTGTGTCGTTTTATTGCTGTGGAATATGACCTGTAGCCTCTCCCTCCTACAGTGTGTATATTTGTTTATTACACTGGCAATCAGCGCCTGGAATCACATGCATATGAGTGTGCGAGCGTGTGTCCTGTCTTATGATTGTGTATTTGTCACTGAGTCATCATTCCACCAAGCAATTATAGTATTTCAAGTGTATTTATTATCATGTATACCACTTGATTGATGATATCACTGGATTGGGCGATCCAGAAATGGACTGATACAGCAAGATTTTAAACTTTGATTCTGTTGAATGGGAAAGTATCTGCAATATACACGTGTAATTGTAACCTCAGATTCACCTTTTCTTTTACATAAATTATCGCCTCTTAGAAACACAGACCGCTTTAAAGGCACTATCTAGTTCAGCCAGAATTTGATTTTTTACATTCGAGAGAAAAAAATGAATCTCATTCTGCTGCTTTCCAGGGCTGCCTTATTCTATTTCTTCTTTTTTTCTACTCCAGACATGGTGCCATGTGGGAGATCCTGGCCCACAGATTCATTATCATTTCAAAACCCACTGTTCCAACCAAACGACTGGGAAGAGAGAATTTGTGCAAATGTAGTGTTCATGTCCCCATGGCTAAAACATCTGCAAAGTTGTGACACGAACAGACGAACAGACTCAACAGAGCAGAAATGAAGCCTGGCACATATGTAATTGTTTTGTGTGTGGCTGCTTTACTTTGTATGAATGCATGGCTCTGCTCGCAAGTGTTTGTATGTGTATGTGTGCCTGTGTGTTCCCATGTGTTTGCCTTTGTGTGTGTGTGTGTGTGTGCGTGCGTGCGTGCGTGCGTGCGTGCTGAAATGGCCGGGTCAGGACGATCAGAGCTGAATAGAGTCTCAGCTGTGATCCACAGTACCTTGGGAGTTGGCTCTGCAGACAGGGTGCTTTACCTCGCTGTAGAAATGACACACAGCATCACATCAACTTTACTGACTCTTTGCACAAAAATACACTCTTCACCACAAAAGCAGCCTCATTAAAATCACAATGTGCATAAAGAGAGCCGGCTATATTTATGGCAGACAAGCAGCGCATTACCCCAGGAGATTTTGCAGTCAAGTCCATAACTAAAGCATTAATGTCTACCTTGGGGGATATCGTAGCAAAATGAGAAATCATTTTATGCCTAACCTTTAAGGCATCTATTCACTTGTAGCACTGCTAGAATAGACCTGATATCAGATCCACTCCGATGACTCATTTACTCGCTCTGCCTCCGGGACATCTCTCTTTTCTTCTTCTCTTCCTTCTCTAGTATGCCTAAAAGTCACTCCCTCTCTCTCCTATGGTATCTGCTCTTCTTTCTTTCTTTTTCTCCCTTTACTCGGTCCCTAGTGCTCCCCCACTTCTCTTTTACCAATGTGTCTTTAAATTAACAACTCAATTAATTGAGTCAATTCAAGTAAAGCCGGCTGTAATGTTTTTCACTGTCTGTTTAACAGATTAGAGTAGGATGCCTCTTTGCTCTCAAGGTTATGAGTTTGCCTTATTCTTCTCACACAGGAAACATGCAAGTTGAACAATTTTAAGGACACTTATTCCTTCCCTGCAGGCTTGCTCCAATCCTTGAGATTTCAGTAGTGGTGATGTGATGTGGCGACACTTGTGCTTAAATGTGCTTACTGGTAGTTGCAACACTTCAGTTTTGCATATTACTACAGATTCCAAAGTGACATTGAACTACACGTGTCGACCACTGGGGGCAGCAAACAGACCTCAAAAGCCTCATCTACCATTGATGCAACCAGAGAAGAGCAACTTGTGAATCTGTGAGCTGAATCAAGATGAAAAGAAGACTACAGAAGACAGTCGACAGAGGTCTGTGACACCAGCTTTTGTTTTCTGCACCACTTCCAGTATATGCATGCAACATTTCCTGTAAATCCCTTGTGCTTGAGTATGCAATTTGTAGTCTGTGCAAGACTTTGCAAGTGACAATGAAAACAGTACAGAATGCAGATAGACTGAATGTCTGCTGCTGAATTTGAAGTTGTGCTAAAGGGGCCAACATTCTCTCCAGGGGTTAAAGGACACAGATAGGATGATAATTATCTATTGACCACTTTTAAATTAGAAAGTCATTTGATCCGTTAATAAAAACAAAATGTAAGCAGATTTAAGGATTACAACTTAACTGTAACCAATATTTCAAAAGCTAAATATGGCCATGACATAAACCAAACAGGCATGGCTTAGAAAAATTCATTTACCAGTTTTCCTGTTTTGAAAGCTGTTCCCTGCTCAGCTAGTGTGCAGTCCAAAATGTGTCTCCATTGTGGCAAGACAAACGCACACTCCTACACTCACAAGTACACACCTCTTCAAGACCTGAGTCCTTGAAGGCTTCTAAAGAAGTCCAAAGAGGATTTCAAAGCATGTCAGTGTTTTGTGCTTATCCGAAAACATCTTGCGACATTTAACAGTGATGCGCTCAGGGGCTTGTTTACATCAAACACATGCTGAACCACCATTTTATAAATGTCAGGGTGAAGTTGCGGACTACAGCTCACGTGAGACACTGAGCTCAAATTGTGTCAGTGTTGTGTTGAATCAGCCAGCAGTGCATTGTTGAAAGAACATGCAATGATGCAATAGTGAACATTAAACACTCATCCTGCCAGTTCAATATATTTTTTTTCCATTTGCAACTCTCACTGACAACACTGCACCGCATTCACTTCAAGCAAGAGCGAGCTGCTGTGGTGTTGAGGTTCAATTCCCGAGGGGGATTATTTTGAAGATTCCAGCTGTTTCCAGATCTGAGAGGGCACACAGAATGATATGAGGCACAGTTAATAAAGACAGTTTCGAGTTACAGCGTGCATATTGTAAAGTTCCATGCTGCTACAGTGGACTACGAAAAGCCTGCAGGATTGATGAGTTCTGCAGGATTTCTGTTGTATGATGGCTACTACTGTAATGCATTAGGTATGAGCTTCAGATTGAGGTTCTGCCTGAGCTCAGGTTTGAGGTTGTTGAAAAAGCAGAAAGAGCAAAAGGTAAGAAGGCACAGAGAATTGTACTGTATATACAATGAGACACAGTGACAGCAACAGAGAGAGAATAGCAGAGAGAGTGGGACACAGAAAAAGAGACAAAAGGAGAAATGCAACTTAGGAGAGCTGAAATGTTGCCTCAGTAGAACAAAGATGCTTGTTCCAACCAGAGTTTCCCACAAGTATTCGCAGAAATATTCTATAAATATTCCATTACCAGCTTTCCAGACAGACACGCCTGGGATGTTCATTATGAAACATTTAGAATAGGTTTAGGAGATTCAGAAACAGTTTGGATGAAAGTGTAACCCATTTCTGCAGATGTTGTATGTTATAAACATGCTGCTTTAAAATAATAGTTAGTATGCCTATATATATATATAGATATATATATATATGCACATAATAACCTCTCAATGTTATGTGTTATGTTTCTGCAACTTGTCCTGTTAGTATAAAGAAACTATATGTGTATGTGAGTTTATATTCAATATTACATTATCGCCGTCCCCACAGCAGGCCTTCATACCATCTCCGAACTCAAAGAGCCTCATCCGCTATCTCTGCTTTAACAGGATGAGCATTGACTGCATGTTTGAAGTTCAGAATGTTATCTGGCAAGCCAAGCGGCAGAAATCAGAGGCGGGGAGGAGCTGCATGAAACTGGAGATTTAGAGATTTCCCTCTTTCGTCCGACACACATCGATGCTGAATTATATGGCCTTGCTCATTTCAGAATCCAGCCTTTTCAACAACACATGGGGCTGTGACGCTTTGAAAATATCTCCACACAGACAATGCTTGCATGGGATTGTTTTATCCTCTCCTTGGAAAGCAAGATTTGACAATCTTATTGCCTCATCTAACTCCTTCCTTCCCTCTCCCAATCCAAGTCACTCTTTGTCTGATCTAAGATGGATGAAACTGAACAGAGCCATTTTGGTTGCCATGCTGTGATGAATCTGTGTCATTCTATATAATCATAACTTTGATGAACAGCTGGGGCCTGCAAATAGCATGCGTCCACACAGCTCCTCCCTCGTGGCTGCAGGGAAATCGGCAGCCTATTATAAGGCTGAAATAGGCCTAAAGAATTGTTCGCCTCATCTCCTCAGCCTCACCTCCAGTCGAGTGAAAGAGCTGACAAGGTAGGAAAAAGCTGACACAGAAGTTAGAAGAAATACCGAGGAAAACCTCGTGCTCATCAGAGGTGCAATTTCCCTGCTCTGTATTTTTTAAAGCAGGAAGGGAAGAAGAGAGTGGGCTCGGCAGCATGCAATTTGCACACATTTAATGAGTAGTATGGTGATTAATGGTGATTAGGTAAATTGTTGTTACTATGTGTATTTTCAAACTGAATCTATAGTTAACAAGGAGGAAGAATTCTCCTAACAAGGGAGGATGCCATTTATTCTCAAACTGCCTTCTGGGATACAATGCCACAATGAGGCGACTCACATGATTGGTGAAAAATAATTACGAGCCTACAGCAGGTCTGTAATATCAGTAGCATAGTTACTAAGTTTAATTGAGGCCTTGTCTGTTGTGTCAGTCTAGTTTCTAACTGCCTGTTTCTCCGTCTCTCTGTCTTTCTGATATGCATCTATATCTGTTTACTGGCCGAGTTGGATTTTTAAATTCATACATTCATGCATTTAATCCCATAATAACAGCTTCACTGTCTACTCTTTACTATTATTAAAACGTAATAGAGCTGTATTAGTATACTTCCGATGCAATTCATCTGAGTTAGAGTACAGTAAGTTGTTTTTGTGTTGAAAATATCCAAGCTAACATTTCTCTCCTGACATCCATTATACTACCGTATGTTGTGTGGTGGTTTATTTATCAAACCACTATAAAGTTAGCTTTAAACATTTTGTCGACCTGCATTCTCTGCCTTTGGAGTGCTTTGTGGGTGCATTTCAAAACAAATAAATGTTCAATATAAAAAAGGTATTTGTTTAACAGTTAGTCGTCTATCTTTCTCTTCATTGACAGTAAATGTGTATCTTTGCCTGTCTCTCTACCTGCCTGTCTATCTGTTATGTGAGTTTTGTCACCCGTCCATTTATGTCTCCTGTGGATGTAGTGATTCAGGGAGGAACATCATTTTCAGGGATTTTCTTTGAATTGAAGTGTATTGTGATGTTAATGTAAACGCTTTGTTACTTAAATGTTTTTGTAATGGCAAAAAAAACATTCTCAGTAAATCAGAACCACCCTGCCTTTCCGTGTCTCGTGATTCCCTGGAGGAAATATAACCATACAGAATGCCGGTGCTGATAAGACACCACTTTGTTGTGCATTTTGCTGTCTCGTGTGGAGTTTTTAATAGAGAAAGAGAATCATTCATTGTCTACACCATTGTGTTCTACTGTGCTGAACAGTCCTGCGCTTTCATACAAAATTGTGTTTCCAAAATAGCAGATGGTTTGCTTGCAGCGATAAGAAACAGACATTTAGCAGATAAATGAATAATAAAAATGATGATTGGGTGTAATATCTAATATTCATACTGCCAAGCTCCCATAAAAGAACATTACTGTGTTTTTTTACTCTCTTTCTGTGTGTGTGTGTGTGTGGTGTGTGTGTGTGTGTGTGTGTGTGTGTGTGTGTGTGTGTGTGTGTGTGTGTGTGTGTGTGTGTGTGTGTCTGTGTGTGTGTGTGTGTGTGTGTGTGTGTGTGTGTGTTTGTGTGTGGATCTTTAAAGTGGGAGATAGAGAGAGAGACACACA